TATGTAGCTCCCGCATTTTTTAGCCCGAGGGGCATTACGTTGTAACAATACAACAACAACAACAACAAACCCAGTTTGATCCGAACAGGTGGGGTCTGGGGAGGGTAGTCTGTACGCAGACCTTACCCCTACCTAATGCAGGTAGAGAGGCTGTTTCCAATAAGTTCCAAATTTAGTACTCCCTCTGTTTCATATTAGATGAGGTAGTTTGACTCGGCACGGAGTTTAAGAAAAAAGAAGAAGACTTTTGAAACTTGTGGTCTTAAAAGCTTAAGGGGTAAAAGGTTTGTGGGGCCATGACATTTGTGTGGCTATAAAAACTTCTCATTAAGGGTAAATGGGTAAAATGAAAGAGTTTAAAGTTGAATTATTTCCAAATTTAGAAATGTGTCATTTGTTTTGGAACAGACTAAAAAGGAAAGTACCTCATTTAATATGAAACAGAGAGAGTAATAAACAGAGTCTTTTTCTGGTCCTCCGGGTTCATCTGAATTTGATTGTACCCGGAGTAGGCGTCAAGAAAAGTTAGGATCTCATGGCCGGCCATGGCATCGATCATACGGTTGATGTTGGGCAGTGGGAAAGAGTCTTTTGGGCATGCTTTGTTCAAGTCCTTATAGCCTACACACATTATAAGTGTATTTCCTTTCTTAGGAACTACAACTACATTGGCTAACCATTCGGGGTACTTTACCTCCCGAATAGACCCTATTTTAAGAAGTTGGTTACCTCGTCCTTTATGAACGCATGTTTCACCTTGGACGGGGGCCTCCTTTTTTGCTTTACCAGTTTGAACCTGGGGTCGATGCTAAGCCGATGTGTGGTGATTTCCGGCGGAATCCCTGTCATATCTAAATGGGACCAAGCAAAGCAATCCATATTATCAATAAGAAATTGAATGAGTTTTTTTCCTGAGTTCGGGGGTTAATCCCGTTCCCAGATATACCTTTCTCTTGGGCATGTATTCGATCAGTATGACCTGCTCCAGTTCCTCGACAGTTGATTTGGTTGCATCGGACTCTTCGGGAATGATGAAGGTTCGAGGAGTAAGGAAGTCCTCTTCTTCGTCTTCGATTACCTGTTGCTCCGATTCCGTCGAGGCTGGGGGCGGTGATTGCTATTTAGCCGCCTGCTTACCTTTGGTGCTCGATTTCTCTGAGGTCGAAGGCTCTGGTATCGGCACCACTTCCTCGACAACAAACATCTCCTTTGCAGCATGTTGCTCTCAGTAGACTGTTTTCACTCCCTCTTCTGTTGGGAACTTCATCATCTGGTGAAGAGTTGAAGGCACTGCCCTCATGTTGCGTATCCATGGTCTCCCGAGGAGTGCATTATACCTCATGTCGCCTTCGATGACATGAAATTTCGTGTCCTGTATGGTTCCGACTACGTTTACTGGTAGGATTATCTCCCCCTTTGTTGTTTCGCTTGCCATATTGAAGCCATTTAGGACCTGGGACGCAGGTATGATCTGATCTTGTAGGACGAGTTATTCCGACCCTCGATCTGATTATGTTTGCTGAGCTACCTAGATCTAATAGAACACGCTTAACTTGAATTTTATTTAAACGAATAGAAATTACCAGGGCGTCGTTGTGCGGTTGGGATACGCCTTCTGCTTCTTCGTCAAAAAAAAATAGGACGTCCTCGGACACATAGCTCCGAGTCCGTTATTCTCTGGTGATTGATACCTTGGTGCGTTTGAACACAGGTCCTTGTGGGATGTCGACACCGCCAACGATCATGTGGATTACATGTTGTGGTTCTTCCTGCTCATTTTTTCTTGCATCTCTCTCCCTGAAATGGTTTTTAGCTCGATCACTGAGAAATTCTCGAAGGTGACCCTCATTGAACAGCCGAGCTACCTCCTCCCTTAACTGCCTGCAGTCTTCGGTTCTATGGCCATGTGTGCCATTATACTTACACATCAAATTTGGATTCCTCTGAGAAGGATCGGTTTGGATAGGCCTGGGCCATCTGGTATCTTTGATTCTTCCAATAGCTGACACGATCTCTGATGCGTCTACACTGAAATTATACTCTGACAATCGAGGTGCCTCCGCGGGATCGGTGTGTTTAACGAACCCGCTCTTACTCATGAGTCCCCGAGAGCTCTGTCCTAGATTGTTTCTCCGATCATTCCAAGGAGCGTTACGGCCTGAACCATTGTTTCTTCGATCAACATACGGCTGATATCATTCTTTGTTTGACCTCGATTCCCAGTCTGTATCCCTCGGGGGCTTAGCTGCCGACCTGTTAGGATGAACTGAGCCCGAGGGGGCTCTCAACTGGTCGTCCTCGACCCTAATCTTTGATTGGTAACGCTTATGTACGTCCGACCACGTCACAACTGGATACTCGATCAGATTCTATTTTAATTGTCAAGACGCAATCGAGCTCCTTTCATTCAAACCTTGCATAAAAGCTTGTACTGCCCAGTCATCCGAGACCGGTGGTAATTCCATTCGCTCCATCTGGAACCTAGACACGAACTCCCTCAGCATCTCGTTTCCTTTGTTTTATCTTGAAGACATCCGATTTTCTCGTTGCCACCTTTATGGCTCCCGCGTGTGCTTTCACGAAGGCGTATGCTAACATAGCAAACAAATCAATAGATTAGGAGGCAAGTTGTGATACCAAATCATAGTTCCTTTTGACAATGTTTCTCCAAACTTTTTTAGCAATACTGATTCGATCTCATCGTCGTTCAAGTCATTTCCCTTGGTCCCGCAAGTGTATGAAGTAATATGCTCGTTAGGGTCGGTTGTCCCATTATACTTGGGTATATCGGGCATGCAAAACTTTTTAGGGATGGGCATTGGAGCCGCGCTCTGAGGGAACGGTTTTTGTATGAACTTTTTTGCATCTAAACCTTTCAAAACTGGAGGTGCCCCTGGTATCTGGTCAACACGGGAGTTATAAGTCTCCACCTTCTTATCATTGTCCTCAATCTTCTTTTCCTCGGACTCGATCCTCTTGGTAAGCTCTTCGAGCATCCTCATAATGGTGGGGTCAGTCCCTGAGTTATTTCTGTTCGACCTCTCTGGCGCTAGTTCAGCACGTCGAGTGTTTTCTGGTTCAGCTACACTCGGAGTTTTATTCTGACTCTGAAGTTGGGCGATGGCGATCTGCTGAGCTTGCAGCATCTCGAATATCACTTGGAGGCTGACTCCCCCATCTCCTATACCTGGTGTTCCTTGGCCCCCAGATCGGGCTTCTCTGCGTACACTCCCTCCGGGGTCTGCGCCTAAATATGCATTCAAAGCAATGTGTGAACTAACATCAACTGGTTCCACATTTGGCACCTCCCCAGGGTTTATCGGTGGTACACCGACCCCTAAATTGTTGTTTTCCCCATGAAATCCAGGACCTTCATTGTCATGAACAGGTGCACTTTGCGAGTTCGACATGTTTAATCCCGAGAATCAGAAAATCTTGACCAAGAAAAAGCGTAAAAATAACGTGTGTAATGAGAATCAGTAAAGAAATAATCACTATTATCTTTAGCCCCACGGTGGGCGCCAAACTGTTTACCTCGAAAATACGAGTAACAATTAAATTTGATTTGTGGTTTTAAAGATATGTGATTAAGTTCAATACCAATTAATAATCAAGAAATGTGAGTTATAAATGAAAGAAACAAGTAAATCAAACTAGTGTTGTTTAGCGGTATCGACCTCGAGCTCAGTGACCTCGAGATGAATCAAGAACAATAAAGTAAGAACGATAAAGTAAAAGGACACCTCTGATGAACAATAAGCGAGAAAAGTAGGATAGTATATTCTTTTCCAATGATTAGATGATGTTACAAATGATTGGGGTACCCTTTATATAATAGGGAAACCCTAAATAAGGTACATTGCTATTTACAGTAAGGAATATTATTGGTAGAGTTGTCTAACCGCCTAGTACGGAACCGTACAATCTTATTCCGGGATTTGTGCCATGATCTTGGGGACGTGACAGGAATCTCGCTCATTCTGTTAGAAATCCATAACGGCATTATTTCGAGGTCGAGCGTACTCAGCTTCGGTATTCATCGCACTCTGATCCTCGAGCCTTGCATCTTATCTTCGAGCTCGAGTCCGATCCATCGGGCTCAAATTCGACCTTGCCTGAACTCGGGCTTAAGGCGATCCCTCGAGCCTATAGAGCGAAGGCACGCGATCTTGACCGTATACACCCATCTATTACATTTTGTTGAGATATTTAATCCAAAAGAGCTTCTTAATAAAGTAATTGAAGAATTGGATCATAGGAATATTTACTTTCACGAATTCATCAATTTTTTCTCTTTAGAGGGTTATCTTAAATACGATGGCTTTCTTTTCCTTTTTGTATTTATTTTCTTATAACCAATAACAGATACAAAAAAAAAATACTGTTTCAATCATAGCGTGTCCTGTATTTAGAGATAAATCGGGGGATTAATCTGAGTTAGCAATTCCTAGCCAGGCCTTCTTTACATGGTTTAAGTATACCATTGATGGGAATGAAATATCATTTTTTTAACATTTAATTGAGAAGGCTGACAAAATGTCAATTTCAGATTAAGATACCAGGGAGGGCTAGTTTCTGATAAGTAATATTTTTCTTTTATTAAGTGACAGGGCAGAATTCGGGAGAGTCACACCCTAAGGAGTGTGATGTAGACAACCTACCCTAATGCAAGCATTAGTGGCTGCTTTCACGCCGTGACCTATAACTTTACCGTTACTCCAAGGTTCCCCTTCTTTTATTAAGTGATTGAATAAATTATGTATACATCTTTACCGGTCTACCTTCTAGTTGTTATTAATTGGATAATTAGGATAAATGATATTTAAACCTAGAAACTAATGGCAATCAATTACAAGCACGCATTATGCTGTGGGTAAGCAGAAAGGGAGAAAGGTAAATATATGAAAATTGCATAGGCAGAAATCAGGTACACAACGAATGAATCAGACCACTTAAACATGCTAATATTTATCTAAATTAATTTCTCAACTCACCTGAAATCAATAAAATAAAGAGGACACTCATAATAATCTTGTGTACTGTCCAGTGATGATAATCAAGGGATATACAAGAATTGCCAGGACTTAACTGAATTTGAGATGCAAAAATAACCTAGACTTGGCTGACCTAGAGCAAGCCAATTCTAACAAAAATAACCTATAATTGGATAGGGTGAAATAGATACACTAACAAGGTGTGGAATTAGGAAGTGAAAGAGGAGGGGTAATAAATATTTCCCTTGTTTCTCAGGAAGTATAAGAAGCTGAGGCCTGAGAGGCACCCTAAACTGCTACATTAATCCTTTTAAACTGTAAGTAAACAACCAAACAGCCAAACGAGCAGAATACATACTTCTCCTAAGGATAGTAAATCAATAAACTTCCTCCCCCCTTTCTTTCCTGCAACAGTATTTCAGGGAGCAAAACTTGTTAGTATGTCACTATCAAGGCTGACGCTCCTGAAGTTGAAAACAAATTATGCTGGCAATCTCCATCCACGTTCAGCTAGTGCCTTAATCACTTGGGCAGCAGCCTCCTTAGTATCATTCAGGGGACTGTAGCTCCAACTTTCAGATATCTATAATATAAGACAGACAAGTTGTAAGACATAGTCAATACGATAATAACTTTTGATTCCAGGCAGCATGCTCATGCAGGCCTGGTGACAGTGAGCTTAATGTCGTCCATAACTGTTGAATTCACTTGAGTTCCAAATGAAAGACGTGCATTAATATTCCAAGTATGGTCGCAGCAAGAAAAGATATTTACCAAAGGCACTCGAAATTATGCAATTCCAATTGTATTTCAGCACTATATACTTATATAGTGCTCTGAGTAGTTTTAGAAATTAAATAGTAGTCACTGCCATAAGAATAGATAAGCATATTGCACAGTCATCTTCCAGCAAACCAATATCTATCTGTATGTGTTATCTAACCATGCAAAAACTCAAAGAAGTAGAATTAAACTAGAAGTACTATTTTATTTTAGCAATATAAATTAATACAGCTCTACTCACATCTTCTTTTCCAGTGAATGGACGAACCACGCCTCGATTCTTCAAGGATCGATGGAAGTCTCTGAATTTCCATGTGCATCGCTCAGCACCAATTACATAAACAGGTTTCCTGAACCTTAAACTCTTTAGATGAAATATTCATGTAAAGGAGAACAGAAGGGACATTGAATTTGACAAGATCAACAAAGGCCAACATACCCTGTACTGCAAGCCTCACTTAACATACTAACCGAGTCAGCAGTGATAACAAAAGCATCTGCAAAAGCCAAATGCCCCATATGCGGATTTGGACCTGAAAATTTAATATAAAAAGCATATATACGTCATGTCGATGGCACGAGTAGGAAATACAACTATAGACACTATTGAGAACAATTCTGTGAATTGGGCGAGAGTTTGCAGTATCAACCAGATCCCATCTTCGAGGGAAAAAGATTAAAATATCATCTCAGAACATCCCATCTCTTGCTTTATATTCTTGTTAGTCGGGTGCACTTGTTGCCATACGATAATTTCTTGTTAATATTGCAAACAACACGAAGTGCAATGGAAGATTATTCTGTCAATTGTCTTCCATCTATATGTAGGATGAAAGACAAGCAAAATCCTCTATAAAAGAGATCGACCATGTGGTCCTCTTCTTTTATGTAGGGCGGGCAGAGGAAGAAGAAAGAATGTTATGCAGTTTGTTTGAATGAAAACAACAGAAGCGCATCTGACAGGGTTTTTTTTTGTTTTGTTTTTTTTTTTTTTTTTTTTTGATAATGGCATCTGACAGGGTAATAAACCATATAAACTTCTTTTTCCTGTGTATCCTTAAATGGCAATTATATCCCCTTCTTTCTGTTGAATCTTTATACAAATTCTGCTGAAGGATAATCAAATTTGACATCAGAAAGCCCTTTTGTTTAGCTCAAGCTCAAACTTCTTGTAATGGTTTCCTTTTGCTGCTTATTTTTCTATTAACAAATTTGTTTTATTATACAGAGGACAGGAAAAAAATCATTGCGTCAATAGTACCTTCACCGTTCCAAATGTGAACTTTAGGATGATTTCCAAGTTCTTTCCGTATGATATCTGAGACCTGTTAACTACAATATCAACAACCGATCACCAGAACAAAAATGGACAGATGAAACTGATAAGTCATATACCTTACAAGGAGTTCTACGAGAAAAAGATACTCTGATGCTCCCACAGGTCGGAATAACATTCAGCAGCAAGGCTGTTAGCTCCAGTGCTAGGTCAGTACCATATCTACAATGACCTGGAAAGAAAGACTTGTGAGCCAAAACAAAAGAAGGAAATTTACAACTTCCTCAACAAGACAATAAGAAGAACGCCATCAATAAGTGGCAAATAACCGAGGAGCAAATGAACTCAAAGAACTTAAAGGGCTAAACCAAAGGTATGTTTACACAATTATTTCTACGGTAACAGATGAAACCCATTGTGGCTAAAGCACATTCAGAACCTGGTTTTATTTCTTAATGTTTCCACAAGGATTACGGATTGCTAACTCAAACACCAATCGCTCCTTCACACCAAAATAGCAAAGCACAGCAAAGGGAAAAAAATCCGTAATACGCAAATTACCTGCAGGCCCTCCAACATTAACCACAAGCAGAGGTCTCCGTAAAGGTGCCAACTCATCATGCCAAGTGGAAGCTGCATCTTTCAGTGCATTAGAATCAGCTTGATGAAGGGCTCCGACGGTCAGGATCTGCCTTAAAACTCTTTTAGTGAAGATGTCTACAGAATGTAGTGGTAAAGAACTCCCAATTCATGCAAGCAAGAGGTTTCAGGAAATTTTCATACCACGTGTCTCTCGGGAGAAGTGCGAGGTGTTATCAACCTTCGAAGAAGCCAAGGAATTTGCTTTTGTCCCTCTGGTGTCAAAGGATAATAATCATGACGAGGTGTTATCACTAGGTCAAACCTATTTAGACGTGATCTGGGATGTTGAATCTGAAAACATAACACAAGAATTAGCATACTTTCATTTTAATCCTCCTTTGGAACTTCTAAAATGGAAGGAAAACAAATATGAAGGAAATCTCAAACAACATTGGCATGGAGAAAAGCCTTTTAGTATTGATTTTAGAAGTTTATATTTATTTGAATACGAGAAAAAGCCAAAACTATTTATATAGGTGATCACTCGATACATGATCCCTCCCTCCTTCCCTCTGTCTTTGTCATGACCAAAGTGCGTAGAAAAGATTCAGAAGAACCAAGAGATCTGGTCAATAGTTAAGCAAGAATCTAAGCTTTTATGTGTCTAAAAGATATTAACAATATCAAGGAATAGAGTCCTAAAAGGAAAAGGACCACTAAAGTGACAATTATATATGGTTGAAATTGGCATGACCTGACACAACTCTTGAAAGCTTTTCAAAGTTGTAGGACTATCCCAACAAAAATGAGAAAAAGAGTAATGTCAGACGCACTAATAAAATTAGATATTCAGAAAAAATAACGAAGCAGCATTCTGAATTCATCTATCCAAATAGGCAATTCCATCATTGGGTGAAAAAGTGCTGATTTATCATACGACAAAGCTTAGTTTTGTCGAACCTGGACAGCGAAAACATATTCTGGAGCTAACTGTTTTATTGAGCTTGAAATGGAGATAGTATCACGACCTGATGCAACAACTAATGATGGACCATCCCTAAATTTTGAGAGAAAGTGAAACAGAAATATCAGATGTAATGTTAACATCTAAAAGCAAGAGTTGAGCCAGAACTACCTCCTGCAAATAAGGAAGTTGTAAACAAGCTCATGAGAAATCAGTGTTGCAGATGCTTAAGAACTATTGCAATGGACAAGCATAGATAGTTTGCTCGGTCTCAAAAACTACATCATCCGGCAGAGTCCATTTTTCAAGTAATTGTGCATCCTTTGCCTGTTCCCTTTTTTGTGGTTTTAGATTTACATTTTTTGGTTCAACTTTCTTAGCTATTCCTTTACCTCCCATAATTCTGAAAGAGACATTTGAGTTTGTTTGGGAGCCAAGTCACTATACCACGTGACTTTTATCTTGAAGTAACTTAATAGAAAATACCCAAGTTATTTTAGAATTCTATTTGACTAATAAGGATTTGGAGTCCGAAAAAACTATTGCCACATTTCTAATCCATTGAAATTACATCAAAGAGAATATTCTAGCAAACAATGCTTGAACTTGAATTCTACAATGCAACTTCTTTTTTAGATAAAAATTCTATAATCCAGCTTCTATCCCTCATGTGAAACTTTTCCTTGATTGGTAAATAAAAAGTTTCACATGAAGGATAGAAACTGGATAAGAGAACTTTAATTTAAAAATCAAGGTGATGCTTAAAGATCCTTAAGGAATACTTCAATTTTTCCTCTTCCCCTTCTTACTTCTATTCCTGAAGTTTAGGACAAGTGGGGATATGTAATAAGAGACGTACAATATCTAACGAGAGTTTTCTCTTTCTCTCACTGAGTATGTATATCGGGGTATGTAGTATGTAGTATGTACCAAATCTGAGCCTTCAACTCTATTATCAAGTCGGACTTACCCTGGAAAAAAAACTCTATTATTAAGCAGATTACTTCAATTATTTAGAAAGCTCAAGTGCTCAAGTCCAACAATAATATTCATTATGTTCAAGCTTAAGAATTAAGATGAAAAGAATTTCCAAGAATCCCCAAAAAACTGTTCATATCACTGTACATCGGCAGCAAACCTGTCCCACTCCTCAACTTCTTCCTCCAAATCATTGTCCATAGAGAATTCAATTTACGCAAACTAAAACCCCAATCTATGTTCAGCTTCCGATTCTGTAGGATTTAGGATGACAACATCCACACACCTATCCTCAATAATGAAGTTCAACAACTTTATTGCACTTTCCAGGTGCTATTCTCTAATAAAATTTTCATTACATTTTCAAAACAACAATGACATTCAACAACAAAATAGAAATGATCAAGCAACAGGATAAGTGCTTAAACCAGGTGCCCATATACATATCGGTGTGTTTCACAAACAGAAGGCCAAATTATAGTTCTTAGCTGCTAATAGCAAATGTAGTGTTATTAAAAGTCATCGCTTCATCGCCTAAAGTGATGAAGCAATGCGAAGTGTGGAGTCCCTCCATGGTGAAAGTTGAAACTGTGTGTTACAGCGAAGCATGATCTTCAAATGATGAGGCGCAATGTAATCCAAACGAGAAGCAGTTGGTTCTTTAAATCTCAACTTTGAGGAGTTGAATTCATATCAGCATTGTAGAATATTGGATGCTAAACTAGTTATTTTAGTTATAAGTTGATTATAAAAGTACTACGTTCATGTGCGTTTGGAATTTTTTAAGTATCAGAAAATTGTGCCCTTCACTTCAAAGAAGTGTCCACTGCACTTCGCTTCTCGCTTTTTGCTTCAAGTCACATAAACTATGTCATTTTTAGGCGCTTTTCGCTTTTAAAACAATGAGCAAAGGAACTAGTAATGTGGTCGCTATGGAAAAAATTAAATCCACCCTTTTCTGATCAGTTCATTGCTCTGATACTGCTCAGACCAATAGCTTGAAACACATCATTTGGATCACAGAATGCATTTGAAAGCAAGCAAATATATATTATAACGATACATACTTGGCAAATGCTTCACATGCCAGTGTTGCAATATGTTTTGCATCAGCTTCTGGGATATCTGAAACAACTGCATCAACACCAGCAAAGCACAAACCATTGACATATGGTATTACCATTGCTTTAAGTATGAGTGAACTTGAAGAAACTCATAGTACCCTGTCTTTCAGCAGGAAGAGGCATCAATCTCTGTCCTCTACCTGCAATTTGAGTCGGTAGTGAATCTTTAGAAATCAACTTTCTGACATTTTCTAACTTTTTGTGGAGAGAAACAGGTAACCATTGAAGTCGCTTGTTAATATCTCCTTGTGGCCTAATAACTCGCTGCACAATAATGAATAAAACAATCGCAAACACCAGATACATATAATGCCAAATTAAAAAACCATGCCGAACAGGAACTTCATAATGTACACAACTAATAGCGCAGTTAATTTTCCCTCAAAATCTAAATCAACAAAGAAAATAGTGCTCTTTTTATCCACATAACATGGTCCACTAGCAGACATGCTGCAGCATAAAACTCCTTATTTCCATTCAACGTACCGTGAAGAATAGGACAATGTTGACTAGACTAGAAATGTACTGCTGCAACTTGCAATCAATAACTCCATAATAGTTGTCAATTAAAAAAAGAAATCCACTGATGAATAGTTTAAGTTGCTTCTTTCAATCAGCATACATAACTTACATAATACAAGTATGGACAAAAAGCACTCTGCAGGCAAAATATTACTCAAAAAGAAGCATTAATGCTTAATTTATAGCCCATTAAAAACCCAAGAAACAAGAACAACACTAACATTCATAGCTAAAAGATTTAACTTTTTGAAAAATCTCGAACCCATAACATTAAAAATATAATGGGTCAATGCTAAGAACCTTAAAGATTGAACTCATAGAGCTTAAAGCCTAGATCAGCCTATGTTTATAGCCCATAAACAAGAACAACAACATTAATAGCTAAAAAATTTAACTTTTTGGTGAAAAAAACCTCTAGAACCCATAACATTAAAAATATAATGGGTCAATACTAAGAACGTTAAAATTGAACTCATAGAACAAGACATAAGAACGATACTAACATTAATAGCTAAAAATTTGAACTTTTGGGTGAAAAAACTTTCGAACCCATTTCTAGCAACGTGTATATCGAAACAAACAAAGTTCGTTTTCTAGCACACAAAACACAGCTGAATTTCAAAACATGCAAACAATTCACTCAATGAGGGAAGTGAAAGAGCAAGGGAAAGAGATTCGTACATAGAGTGTTTGACGATGGGATAAGCCCAGAGCTCGAACCAAACCGAAGCACTGATTTTCTGCACCAGCCACGCCATTCCCTATTATGAACACTCTGCTAATGGTTCGCATTGGACTCCAATATATGTCAATGTATAGCGCATTTAGTTATTGGATTTGATGGGAGTTCTGGAGATCGATAAGATTGGAATTGGGAAGGAGGAAGGCTTGAGGTTTTTCCGGGGTTTAGGGGGGGGGAGGCTTAAAGCTTAACCGCTGACCTTTAAAAACAATACACTATACGGTCAAAATCGGGCTTGCTTGTATGATTAATCCAGATCGGGGTGGGCGGCAAGCCGATGTTCGACCCAATGTCATACCGGACCTTGACACGAAGTTAGATTGCCAAGCTCGTGACTCAGGGACCGATCGAGATCGATATCAGCCAAGACCGAGACCGAGCGGGATAGAGATCCAGCAAGATCGAGGGAAACCTACCAAGCCTAGTAACGAAAAGCCAACATATCCGCGATCGGGCGAGGATCACGGCGGAAATCTCGGCATATATCAAGGCAAGGCCTATTTATAAGTTAATCTTGAGATTTCTTACCATATTTAGAATTGTACTAAGGGTATCCCCTACTATATAAAGGAGAGCTCATCATTTGTAAAGCATATCACGTTACATAAAGCAATATGCTATATTTCTCTTAATCTCACAATATTCTGTTACTGTTACTTCGTTCTTATTTCCCAGTAGAATACCTGCTCGGTTCGAGGGCGATCTAGCTTAAGGGCCTAGGTTACACGTCTCATTTGGTTTGCTTTTATTTCTACTTACAGTCAATTTCAATAGCAATCTGCATTTTTTATCAGTTTATGCCAAGTAAAATCACGTATCCTTAAAACTACAATACAAATTCAATTGTTATCCATTTTTAAGGTCAATAGTATGGCGCCCACCGTGGGGCTAAGGATAATAGTGATTGCATGGTACAAATTCTCGTAACACACACTATTTTACACTTGTTCTTTGAAATTTCTTTGATTACAGGATTGAAAGATGTCAAACTCCCAATCAGCACCTCAACACATTGACAATGATCTCAGCCACCACGGCCAAAATGAGAACATTGCACCAGAAAACGTTGTGCCCCCTGCTGGCCTCGATGGAGTTCCGGCTATAGATCCGATCGACGTCAGTTCGCATGTAGGCATCAATAGAAATATGTCCGTCGATCCCGAAAGCAGCGTTCGCGAGGGTACTCGATCAGCTACTCAGAACACACATGGTGGTGAAGATGGCGGGATCAGCCTGCGGGTGATCTTCGAAATGTTGCAGGCCCAACATGCAGTAATAGCCCAGCTCCAAAATCAGAATCACACACCGAGTAGGGTCGAACTCGAGCCACCCCAGGAAGTCATACACAGGGTCGAATCGATTACGAGGAAATCGAATGAGGGAGACTCAAAGACTAATCCTGCTATCATAAAGATGCTCGAAGAACTGACGAAGCGAATCGAGACGGGGGAAAAGAAAATCGAGGAAAACGATAAGAAGGTGGAAACCTGTAACTCCAAGGTCGACCAAATCCCAGGGGCACCGCCAATATTGAAAGGACTAGATTCTAAAAAGTTTGTACAAAAACCTTTCCCCCCAAGTGCGGATCCAAAGCCAATTCCCTAGAAGTTCCGTATGCCCGAGATCCCTAAGTATAACGGGACGACTGATCCAAACGAGCACGTCACCTCATACACGTGTGCTATCAAAGGAAATGACTTGGAAGATGATGAGATCGAATCTGCCTTGCTGAAGAAATTCGGGATGACTCTATCAAAGGGTGCTATGATATGGTATCATAATTTACCGTCTGATTCTATTTATTCGTTTGCTATGCTTGCAGATTCTTTTGTAAAGGCTCACGCCGGGGACATAAAAGTCGCAACGAGGAAATCGGACCTTTTCAAGGTAAGGCAGAAGGACAACTCAGGGAATTTGTATCTTGATTCTAAATGGAACGGATGGATTTGCCACCGGTCACCGACGATTGGGCCGTTCAAGCTTTCACTCAGGGTCTCAACGCTCGAAGTTCGGTAGCTTCACAGTAGTTGAAGCAGAATTTTATTGAATACCCAGCTGTCACTTGGGTCGATGTACACAATCGGTATCAGTCGAAGATCAGAGTCGAGGATGGTCAATTGGGGGCTCCTACAGGGTCCATTTATCCTATCAGGCCCGTAGATAAAATCAAGAGAGATATTGACCGAGAACTAAGGTCAAATAGAGATCGGTATCAACCGTATAATGGGGACCGAAGAGGCAGCGGATCTGGATGAAATTCTGCACGGAATGAGAGGAGAAATGATCGAGGTCAAAATTCACGGGGACTCATGAGTAAGAGAGGTTTCGACAGGGACGTCGTCCCCAAAGAAGCACCACGACTATCGGAATATAACTTCAACGTTGATGCATCTTCCATCGCATCAGCCATCAGATGTATCAAAGATACTAGATGGCCTCGACCTCTACCGACTGATCCAGCCTAAAAAAATCCCAACCGAATGTGTAAGTATCATGGCACCCATGGTCATAGAACAAAATATTGTAGACAGCTAAGGGGGGAAGTAGGCCAGTTGTTTAACGAGGGGCACCTTCGGGAATTCTTAAGCGATCGGGCCAAGAATCACTTCAAAAATAGAGATTCAAACAGACAGAACGAACAAGAAGAGCCACATCATGTGATTAACATGATCGTTGGAGGGGTCGATATTCCTCAAGGACCAGTATTAAAACGCACCAAGGCGTCGATCACGAGGGAGAAGCAAACTCGGGATTACGTACCAGAAGGGACCTTGTCTTTCGATGACGAGGATGAAGAAGGGATTGTACAACCCCATAACGACGCACTGGTAATATCTATACCTATGAATAAAATTCAAGTTAAACGTGTTTTAACTGATCCAGGTAGCTCGGCCAACATCATTTGATCAAGGGTCGTAGAACGGCTCGCCCTACAGGGTCAGGTTGTGCCTGCACCGAGTACTAAACGACTTTAACATGGCATGTGAAACCACCAAAGGCAAAATAACTTTGCCAGTAAACGTGGCTGGGACCGTCCAAGAAACGAAGTTCCATGTGATCGAGGGCGATATGAGGTATAATTCCCTACTTGGGAGGCCGTGGATCCACAACATGAGGGCAGTGCCCTCGACCCTTCACCAGATTTCTAAAGTTCCCAACACCAGAGGGAGTCAAAACAGTCTACGGGGAGCAACCTGCCACCAAGGAAATGTTTGTCGTCGACGAAGTGATATCTATATCGGCACTCTCATCAAAGAAAGAGTCAAATTGGAAGGGAAAATAGGAGGTCAAATAGCAACCACAGACATCAGCCTCGGCCCAATCAGAGAAGCAAGGAACTGACAAAGATGATGATTACAGGGTTCCTCGATCCTTCATAGTCCCTGATGATTCCTGTCATGACCCTAAAACCAACCCGGTCATGATGGCGCCTATCGTGGAACTAGGCCAGCCGACACAACTCCTGAACTAACCATTATTCAATAAAAGTCATTTTTATACCATTTATTAATCAACAAAATACCATTTATTAATCAACAATCTCATGATGTAAGTCTAAATGGATAGTGCGGAATAAATACACAAGCCCGACATCGGGGTGTCACAAGTCACGAGCATCTACTAAGGTCTAAACACAACTAAGAATCTAAAATGTACTAAATACAGTCTAAGGAAGACAAGAGGGAGAAAAGCAGTGCTGCGAACGTCGGGCAGCCACCTTGCTAACTCCAATGACTCTACCACTGAGCAATCAACACCCGCTACCGGGTTCAAAATAATACCTGAATCTGCACACAAGGTGCAGGGAGTAATGTGAGTACGCCAACTCAGTAAGTAATAAAAGTAAATGAAAGCTGAGCAGTAAGAAAACACGTAAGCCACGTCATGACGCTACAGCAAATATAGTACATTACCAAAACAGTACAGAAATCATTTACTTCGTAAATCAAGCTCAGTTTCAGTAAAACCTTTTAAAACAACTTCCAATAGTTTCAAAACGAGTGATAAAATCAGTGAGTAAAAATGATAGAAACGTATATAGCCCCTCGGGCAAAACATGTACCGTAAACCGCCCCTCGGGCATAAAATCAACAGAACCAGCCCCTCGGGCTACCTCACAATCACTCGTAATCAGCCCCTCGGGCATAACATGAATCAAGAACCGCCCCTCGGGCAACATAGATCAAGAACAGCCCCTCGGGCTTCAATATGAAACAACAACAGCCCCTCGAGCTACAACACATCACACACACTGGGTACCCGCGCTCACTGGGGGTATATAGACTCCGGGAGGGGCCCCTTACGGCCCAAGCGCAATAACAAGCCATCTCGTGGCATAATCAATCCGGCCCTCGGCCTCACATAATAAACAGGATCACCACACTGGGTACCCGCGCTCACTGGGGGTGTACAAACTCCTAGAGGGGCCCCTTACGGCCCAAGCGCAATATCAAGCCATCTCGTGGCATAATCAAACAGGCTCTCGGCCTCGTATCAATCACAAGCCACCTCGTGGCATAATAAATCAGGCCCTCGGCCTCTCACATATCACAAATTAGTACCACATGCTGCGGCGTGCAGCCCGATCCCATAACATCCTCACAACACAGGCCCTCGGCCTCACTCAGTCAGAACTCACTCAAGCCCCTCGGGCTGCCAGTAAAATAAGTACTCGGCTAAAAATATCTTTTTTTTGAAATCAAGAGGAGTGAATAAAACTGAGTTATGAAAGCAGTAAGAACATAGCAAGACTGAGTGTAAATATCAAACCAAAAACAGTGAGGAAATCAGTAATAAAAGCCCCTAAGGGTCCAAACAATCGGCACAAGGCCCAGACACGACATTTAGCCCCAAACACAATAATACTCTCCAAAATATAACAATATCAAATAGTTTCCAAGTAAAATACGCGACTTAATAGTCGTACGGGATGGACTAAGTCACAATCCCCAACGGTGCACGCCCCACGCTCGTCATCTAGCATGTGCGTCACCTCAAAGTAGCACAACGATGTGAAATCCGGGGCTTCATACCCTCAGAACAGTATTTACAATCATTACTTACCTCAATCCGGCCCAAACTCTAGCTCGAGATGCCTTTGCCCCTCGAATCGGCCTCCGGATGCTCCAAATCTAGGCACAATCAGAATGTAACCATCAAAATATGTTAAGGGAACAAAGCCACTCGAAAATAATC